ATATATTATCCGTAAATTCTGATAAAAATTGTTGTTTAGATTTATTAGAGTTAAATGTATTTAATTGTTTTCGTTAGGAGTAAAGTTCAAGGCAAGTTTTCCTGTTATGTTTCTTAGTTATGAAATAAATAATAACTTTCGCTTAAGTGAAAATTCTATACTAGGGAAAAAGTGAAAAACAATTTTTGTTTTGAAGGTTAAGGCGAATACTAGCACGATCTCCTGATAATGAGTCGTTGGAATGAACGCTTTCAGACGATCATTAGGAGGGTAAGGCGAAGTAATTGTGAGCTCGAGTGCCGCTCGTTTAACCCTTCGACGCTCTTGTTTCTCTCCTTTCTTCACACTAACCCTGATCCATAAGTATATACACGTGTATTTGTCGTATATGTGTGTATTTGTGTGCGAGTGGGTATAATAGACTTTATTTTCTATTTATAATACAATACACGTTGTAGGTAAAAGAATTTTGTTAACGTCACTTAACACTTTAATTATGTTATTATTAATAACCAGACTTCTTCTAATTTCATTCAATAAAAAAAGAACAAAATAATAATTTTTCGTATCATACGTTCGAGAGAAACAATATTCCAAAGATTTGAATAGCGTTTGTAGTTTTATTTTCTTATTTTGGTTTTGTTTTTGTAACAGCGTTATTATAAAGCGAAAATATAAAAATTAAATAAACAAACACGGATTATTATAAAAGTTGTCGCGGAAAAAACTTTTGTACGAGTAGAAAAAATGTACAACCGCGTACTGATCTTTTTACAATTTCATATTTTACATCTTTCTTTTATCATACACTTGAAACTCTTGTACGCTGAATAAAACCTGTACGAATACAATACTTTGCTTTATGTTACGAAACAGAAAGATAGGTAAAAAGAGATATAGAAAATAAAGAAATAACGTAGAAGTTAAATTAAAAATATAAAGCAAAGAAAATAAGAAAAATAAAAAAAGTAAAATAAGAAGTGCATTAAATAACGTTTGAAATGCAGGGACTAAACTTAGTTTCCTTATTTCATCGGAATTTTTACGAGTTGTCGCAACAATTTATAAAATTATTATTACTCTTTTTTATTATATTATTATCTCTCTTAAACTAAAGGCAAATATCTTTGTTGCAAATAGAAACCCAATCGTCCATCCACATCTTATTTACGTTCGTTCAATAAATAATTCTCGGGAACATTTCATAAATTCCCACTCCATTTGTTTCCTCCCGATTGATAAAATGGATTATTATTTTTCGTTTGTTTCTGTTTTAGCACATTTTCATTGATTTCTAAATAAAAAATAAAAAAAAAACAAATAGATACGCCTAACTTGTACGTTCACTATACTTATGCACATACACACAAACGCATCTACGCGTACGCGTATAGGTGAAACATTATCAATGTGTGTTTTATAAAATTTCATTAAAAGTGCGCATATTTACACATATATATATATATATATATATATATATATATATATGTATCTTGAAAAATAAAGTAGCAATGAAACTGTGAATGTAAGCAGGCAGTCAGGTACATATAATCAATTAAAATTCGCATCAATTGATTAACAAGCTTGAAAAGTGTAAGTAAGAAACATTGATGTTTCCTCTTCTCTCGCTCTTGTTATAACTTTGAGTGTATGTATTAGTAGTTTGTAGATGAATAGGAACAAGAGAATAATACAGATCTCGAATGAAGGTAGTCAATCACGCGGTTTCAATTCCTTTTCAAATATACGAATCCTTTTTATTCCTTTTTATTTCTCCCACCCCATACTCATCGTTGCCAACCCATCGGTAGTCAATATTTTCAAGCATGAACATCATTGTACGATTCATCCATCTCCCTTTCGCGTTTCCTTTTCATCGATATCATTTTCATGTGTGACCAACGTGAAAAGCAAAGTGTATATCTCCTCTTCTTCATTCTCCTATTTTCCTATTATATATACATAATATATATACATATATATAATGGGAAAATAGGAATATATATATGTATGTATGTGTAGGTGTATCTGTAGATTTCCGATGTATCGAGAAGCTTCCGCCTGGTAAGAAGATATATATATATATATATATCTATATATATGTATTGATGTATATTTATGTATATATATATGTATATATATGTATACGTTATATTACATTTCGCCAATACTATAATCCTAATGTTTTAGGTTACGATAATATCGATTTGGCATCCACTTCCTCTTCGCTTACAATCTCCATCAAGATCTTCCATTGCTCGGGATCTTCACTATGGATGCAAAATTATCTTCGAAAGTGCATTTATGTGCATTAGATGCATTTAACGATTCATCATTATCATCTTTAGTATAGAAATGATAGGTATTATTTGTAGAAATCATTATTGTTTCATAATTTTTGTTTTATCTCAAAGATAAGAATAGTATGATTTTTTGATATAAATATATCTCTGTTCATTCATTTATACAGAGTAGATACAAAATATTTAGGTAATCGTACAAATTAATATTGTTTCATAATTTTATTCCAAATCGATTTGGACAAGTAAGGCTTATAGAGATTCTTTAATAATCTTAAAAAAAAAGGGTAAGGGAGGAGGAAGGGAGGGGGGGGGGAGATAAAACATGAAGGTTTTTAGAGCATGATTTTAAATTTATTTAAATGAGAAAGAATGAAGAAATAAAATTACATGTTACGTTAAAGGTATAAAAATAAGGATTTAACCATTTTGGAAAGCTTAATGAAAAAGAGGGAAGAGGAAATAAAAATATATGGTTGGATGAAGAGACAAACATAGGAAAAAGGGGAAGGAAGAAAAAACGAAAGGAAGACAAAGATAAAGTAAGAGAGAAGAAGAAGAAGAAGAAAAAAAAAGAAGATAGAGGAAGATGAGGAAGAGGGAATTGTTAGCTTCGGTACATGTCTATCTGTTTTTCTCTGTGTGACTCGTGCATGTATATGACTATATATGTGTGGGTGTGTGTAAGAAAAGAGGAAAACGGCGCCACTACGGTATGCGAACTGAATTTTAATGAATCTCTTTTCTCGCCGCTAAGCTTGGCGATTCTCTCTGTCTTTTCCTTTTCTTATTTCTCTTATTCCATTCTTTTTTCCCTCCATTCGAGCCCTTCAACTCCTAAAACTAACTTTATTCCACCAAAGCTGCTCTCCCATATCCAACAAGAGGAAAAGGTGCGAGTGCGTGAAATTCTTTCCTAAAAGACGAATCATTTCTCTCTCTCTCTCTCTCTCTCTTTCTCTCTTTTATTTCTATCAGAATTTACATATCATGTTTCAAAACGTCCTACGATATCTAACGAATCCTTTATCTTTTTTTTTCCTTTTCCTTTCTTTTTTTTTTTTTCAAGAATAAATAATATCATTAGAATCTTGAATTTACATATACTTACATATCTACACCTACGATTTTTTTTTTACGGGTTTCCTTTTCCACCAATGTTTTTTACGAGAATTCACGAGAAAATCAAGCGCAGAGAGAATATAAAGAGATTTTCAAATTCCCTTTTTTGTGGAAAATTTTACATCGAGAAATAATATATATATATATATATTTTTAACATTTTCACGATGGATTTAAAATAAAGAATTCATAAATATAATTTTGTATGAATTCGTTTAATAATAATGACAGGAGAAATTATTACAGATAAAGAATATATATATATTTGTTCTTGTGGATAACGAATAATAAAAAGATAAGATTTGGACGATGTCTAAATATATCTGATAATACAAAAGGGAAACGCAATTTTCATGAAAATGTGATTTCGTATGCAAAAAGGAAAAGAAAAGGGAGAAAGTAGTTATCGATAATTCAAATTATATATCGATTCCAATAACGTTCCCTATCGCAGATACGTGTTTCCATCTTTCGGATATTTTTCTCGTTGATAAAAAAAATGAGAACAATTTTTTTCGCGACAGGCGATATACTTTTCTTATTTCTTAACCATAACAACTCTATTTTCTTCTTTCTCTTCTTTTCTTCCCTTACAAATCTCCCTTCGTTTTTTACGAAAAAAGACACGATTTCTTTTTATTTCGTTTTTTTCTTATCTCTTTCTCTCTTATTTCCGTTTATAGGAATAAAAAGGAATGGAAAAGACGAAAGGCTAGGATTCTGGAAAGAAAAGAGTAAGCCTCTTCACTTTCCTACTCGTAAAGCACGCGTAAGTACT